AATAAAATAGTACCTATTATACTTACTTATATATAATCTTTTACAGTAGTTTCATTCATATAATCCAAGATATCCAGCATTTAATCACTTTGTTTACTAAGTCACCATTTCTAAGTTTAATCCGTATACTAAGCTTTTCGCCGTAATCTTTACCGTATATTGCCGTATACGTCTATGTCGAAATAGCCCCAGCTGTATCGGAATAGCCCCGTGACACGTGACAGTCAAAGAAATGTTTTAAAAATAGTAAAAATGAATAAAATTGTAATAAAATTTGAAGATAAGCTCCTAAATGGATAGAAAAGTTTAAAATGGAGTCAAAAAATTTGTAAGTTGAGCAGGAGGGCGGTATTAATTCTATGAATAATTAATGAACCGCTTAGCCACCAAATATGTCGGAATAGCCCCGGTTGACTATACTTCTGATCCATTGTGGGATGATAAAGGATGTGGTAGTCTTGAAGGTGATTGTTGTGCAGCTCCTGGTCTTCCATGGTTCAATAAGGTACTAAACACTACCACTACTGACTACCTTGAGCTGAGGGTTTGTGGAGATGAAGGTACAGCTAATGAAGATGTTCCTGTTAGCTACTATGAGTTGTATGTGAAATGATGAAAAAACTAATGAACATTTAAACTTTTGTATGTAGTTAGCACAATAGTAGATTATTTGAGTTGATTTTTGTGAGTAATATTTTTTATGCATTCACCTTTTTAGAAGATAATGTAGAATGAAATTTCTTAACCTATACAGTATGTTTGCCATGAGAAAAGAATCACTTTGTTCTACCTTGACTGTTAGTTATTACTTAGCAATAGGCATGAGCAACATTTAGCACTTGCTACTGCAGCATACCTGATTGCCATAGAAAATGGCTACTGCTACTCTACCAACAAAGTTCTTGTTGCTGCTTTCCACTGTCTAGTCTTTTTAGTACTGTGCTTTACCCCTTGTGGTTTGTTCAATTTGTTCATGTATTGTGTCCTATACAAGACAGTCTC